ACCAATGAACAGACCCTTTGGTCGACCCTTCAATATCACCACTTTGGTGATATTGTTTAAAGAATATCCATCTTATATTCTTTATTGTCACTTTCCTTAAGTGACAATATCATGTAACGGGCTGCCCCGTTACACCCCCTACAGCCGCTTGCGCGGCCCCCGACGTGGAGTGCGATCACCGAAGTGACTGCGTGGCGTGGAGAGCGCCAACCCGCCATATATCTCTCCGAGGAGCTCAACCATCTGCGATGGTGGCCCCCTTCAGCCGCTTGCGCGGCCCCTTGACGTGGAGTGTGCGCTCGCCGCAGCGGCGACACGTGGCGCGGGGTACGCCTCCAGTCCGTAAAACACCCCTGCTAGGGCCGCTTGCGCGACCCGTCGGTCTCCTACGCCCACACCCGCGACTGCGAGTGCAGCGTGCCCGCGTCAGATCTTCGACCACGTCGGCTCCCCAAGGGGAGGATTCCCTCCGACGTGACTGCCCCGAAGGGAAAAAGACTGGCTTGAGCTGAACCGTGAAAATTTGGGAATATCTTATCTTATAAAATTGGGACGGAGGGAGCACCATGCATGTGTATATAAGTGACACTACTAACGCGTAAAAATGCAACAACGAGCCAAATGCCAAGAACTGAGCCTTTCACCGTGCAGTCACTCACCAATGGCTCTGCCTTTGGGGTCACAATGATGGCTGCGTTCTTCTATCACCTTAGACAGCACACGTCCGAGACGTTCGGACCACTTCAAATTAATACTCCATGTCAAGAAACGACCACAAGATGACCTTACGCACGTGTGCGCCGACAAACATCTCACTTACCACTCGCCAATTTTTGTCAACGCATGACTTTATGCACAACTGTCGAGAGCAGGGTCGACGTCCAGCAGGCTGGTCGGTAAGAACATGTGTTATCAAGGAAAGTGACAAAACCTGATCGAGCTGCTGGCTTTCGCTTCCCACTGTACCCACGGGCGCTTCATCCGCGCAGATGGGCAGCGTAAGCAATCCAGGGTTGAGTCTTTCGGAACGAATTACCCGTGTAACGGGATCCATCAATTACCGTGCTCTGAGTCAAAAAGCAGTTTACGGCAGTCCGAACTTTAATATATTTGCACAAGTAGTGACGCGAGCAAAACGGGCGGTAGACGATTCGGCTCCACATACAGTTCTGTGCAAGTTGAACTCTGCAGCTTTGCACATCATGCTCGGATACTAGAGATTGGGAATCCAGGACCAGACGCTCGCGGCAGCAAGCCCGTTAGCAGACACAATGCACTCGATGACACCGTTCGTCCGGTCATTTAGCCCTCGCAGCTTGAGGCCACAACGTCTTCCTCACTTTCGAATTTGACTCGCCAGCGCCTCCTCCTCACCAGAGCTCCTAGTTCACTGACTGACACTCCCCCCGTCACAATGGTCAAGATCTTTCATCTCCTCACGCTCGCGCTCGTCATGTCTGCTGGCGGTGGCGCCCTGTCGGCGTCAGTTGTTGGAGAGTCGACCACGGGGACGACATCGGACCCGGACGCACACACTCCATCGACTTCCAGGAACGTTCGGGTCGCTGCAGGGTTCGGCCTTCTTGCACAACCCGAAGGTGAAGAAAGAATGCGTTTACCTGGCGTGATGGAAGACGCTGTGGCTGTGGCCGAGCCACTACTGCTGAAGGCGTCATCGACTAGGACGACGAAGACTGGCGACGAACTAGCGAACTGGGCGGCTAGGCTAGAGCCGTACAGGGTCGGACGATTCGATTATCGCTGGCTTTTTAATCATGGAGCAGCTATCAGGTCGTTGACCATTCCGAGCGGGGTAAATCTGGTGCACAGCCTTGCTCGTTTCAAAATGGCACCAGAATCCTTTCTTAGGGCTTCTCTAACTCGGTTCGCATCCAATGATATCCATAGCGGCATAGTTGAGTACGAAGCGATGGAAAGGTATCGAACGCTCTTATCCATGTTCAACAATAATTACAACAAGCTGAAAATAGTGTCAAAGTACCATGACATTGACATATATAAACCCCTTCCAAAGCTGGATGATCTACTATATGTACGTCCACGGGCTTCCGGGCCTACTGAGCAACGACTGTACGTAAATTAAGTATTGGATTGTCATCTGTGTAGCTGTTGACTTCTTGTTTGAGCATTGTCAACTAACGATGGCTGATGTGTTGATGGTTTGTGCTTCTAGCGTCGCCATGAGAGGCCACGAGAAACCACGAGGATCCTGACACCCTTGCAGACGTTGGCGGGGCAACATCGCCGACGCTGGCGAGACACCATCTCTGCTCCATCCGACAATGCGCGTGTATACTTGGTTGAGAACGCGTGTGGCGCTCACTTGTGATGGTGCTCGCGACCTACATCATCGTGTTAATTTCATAGTATACGCTTTCTTTCCTTCTTGCCCAGCCCCACCACTTGTCTGCATGCACTATATATATAACTAAGCCGCACACGCGTTATAACTAACTCCCACGTCCACTCGTACATGCAACAGATAAGGTTCTGCCAACAGGCCGGAGCGCGTGAGCATGTCCAGCACCTGTGTTCTTTTATGGGTCCTTCGCCCCTTGGCAGCAATGTTTTTTTGCGACGGCCGCAGTCGCGTCCTCTTCCGTCGAAAAATCGATCCAGTTGCTGCACTAGTATACCGTCCTGAGGTCGTTGTCGTGTGCTGGCATCGTTTCTGGCAGCTGTTGGACGCGATAGCTCATCAAGCACACCTCGCGCCAGTGCATCGTGCCCTTGTTAGAGCCTTAGGCAGGGCACGGTCTTGAGCGTTCAACAGACAAATGGTCGTCACTAGAACGCCAACAAGACGTTGAGTTCGCGACGGGGCCGGGTACACTACAAGTAATTCGCGGATCAGCGAATACGCGTCAAAGTCTACACCGCTCGATTCGTGGCGTTGTCGAAGCGTCTGGTAGTCGGAGCTGTCCACTGATCGCCAGTGTTGGTCACTCGAGGTAATCACTGATTCCATTACTCTCCTGCTCCCGAACGACGACACATTGCAGCGTGGTACCCGCCCCCGCTTCAATACCGCTGATGCGATCCGTTGTAAGCGGTTGTCATGTGTAGGCATTCATCAGTTCACTCTCGCGGTAAGTGCCGCTGACGCAGATCCACGTTAAGCTTTAGGGCAGCTGCCAATGTCGAGTTCTATAGCACTCTCTCATACCGACATCCCTTAGCAACGCAGCTTGGCGTGCCAATGCACATGTGGGCCCGGACACTTAGAGTGACATGGAGCAATTCTTGGTTGTCTTGACAACATGCGGGCGCAGTTCTTCAATCGAGCTAGATGTTCACCTTGTCAACCTCTAGTGCGACCAGAGTGTTCCTTGGTGCTTCACAACGCAAGAATCGGCTGCCCAAAAACGCACGTGGGATACAAAGCTCCTTCTTCTTCAGCGGTCTCTTCCTCTTGCTTAGTTCCGTCGTGTATTTATTCGATGGCATCACGCAGTGCGATAGGCCGTCGTCGCAAGTTGACGGTATGTTTTGTATGGCGTTTTCGATGAACATGACAATGCAGCGGTCAGTGCTCGTGCTAACGATTCGAGCAACTGGTGGCGCCGTTGTGGTGGCCCAGACACGTGGACACAGCTTTGTCCACGCAGGTGGGAAAGCGCAAGGAACGTACGAAGTGGACGTCGTTCGAGTCGATGGAAGTGTGTTGACGGAGAAGATTAAGGTCGAAGCTGTGGCTTCGCTGGGAGAAGCAGAAGGCCGCGAGCAGGTTGGTCTCGTCTGGCATACACCTGTCCGTGAACCGCTCTCCTGTGACAGAGGCTTGCCGTGGAGTACTGACGACGCTACACTTGTTAGGTCTGGACCACCTTGTGGCGAGACGCGACCTGTCTGCTATCCAGGAATGGTTCAAGCACCAGGATGCCGAGGAGTGCGTGGGCACGGTGTTCCGTCTATCTGGTCTCAAGTACGCGGTGATGACAAACATCCCGTTTGAACCGAAAGAGGCCCGACACTGGCTGGGTGATTCAGCCACAACCACTTCGCCGCTTGCATGGTCGCGCAATCCTTCCGTTCGGCTCTGCGGGTAGACCAGGTCCTGCTTGGCGGTTGGGCGTCCATCAGTCCGACGCTGGACGTGTTCAAGCTACCACATACGCTCGCGGGTATGCGTTTGCTTCTGGACATGTGGATCGACGTTATAAAGCCCGAGTACTTCATGGCTAGCATGCCTATTTCCTTTGAGTACCCGGATGAGAATGCGTCTACTTCTGCTGGTACGACCGCAGTACCAAATGGTGCGAAATTGCTGCTGCAAGTGCTGCTGACGCTGGCTGAAGTGAAGAAGCCGTCAATTGCGCTAAAGTTTGACAGCGTTCTTCCGATCAATGCTCGTTGTGGTGTAGATGGAGACGGAGTATTGCCGAGCAACGTGGACATTTTGATCAAGTTGTTTCGTGCCTTCCCCAAGGTAAACCATCTGGCCGCATTCCTCTCGCGCCCGAAGCAGCACAAAGTGACCGTGGCGGCCAACAAGTTCCGGTACCTGCATCCGTATGGCTGCTGGTGGTACTGCAACAACCCGTCGACCAGTGAAGAGCTCACTTGTATGCATGTCGAGATCCTAAGCACGGCATTCACGAGCCAGCACTCGGATGCGCGTGTATTGGACCAGCTCATTGACAAGTGGAGCCACTCACGCAGTGTGATCGCCAAAGTGCTGGTGGACATGTAAAAAAGCTCTTTGCAACGGGCTGGAAGATGTCCAAGAGCGACATCCAGCGCGACGTGCAGAGGTTGTTTGGCCAGAGCTTTGCGGAGTTCACAGCAAAGAGCATGTGAGAAGCAGCTGTGATGGGGGATAATGAGCAACGACAGAAGGACGATACGCAGTACAATCGTCAAATGCATCAGTTGCAACGTTCTGTCGATCGCAGTTTATTCGCGATCACTCACTCACTCTGTTCTTTGCTCTCCATCCGCCTTTTGCCTAAGTAGTACATGTTTTTCTATGCCTGAGCTGGAGACTGTCCAGTCTCCTCCAGCGCGTTCACAAGTCTCGCGCGCAGCTCCATCGCCCGCGTCTGCAGCTGCTGCATTGTAACTTTCTACCTGTATTTCATCTATGCCCGATTGAGTTGCCACCGGTCGCATCGCAACGTCTGCTGCTGCTTCCACTTAAGCGCTGCAAAGTCCAGTTGACGCGTCTGTATTGTAAAGACCTTTAAGTCATTAGCATGAGCCGCAAATGGTCCTCTGGCTTGTTCCGACATCGCTCAGTCGCTTTCGTGGCAGATCTGGGCTCATCATCTTTTTTTGGTTTGTTTTCCTCAAGACGGTCTTTGTAGCGGATCTACACAGCTCATTAAGTCAGAGGAAGACTTAACGCTATCACGAGCAACTTTGGTTCACCGAACCCGACTCAGAGAGTCAATAGCTCAGAGAGCTAACGGTCCTCGTTCCAGAGGGACCAAACGATTCAATCGAATCACTGCACAGAGTGCTTGAGGACAAGCTACCTTTACAGGCGTTGCTTTTGTCCTCCCGATCAAAGACGCCTCGCAAGGCACGTGTTTCTTATTGATCAAAAGGGGAACTGAATTTCATTTCTTCTTTAACCTAAAGAACACCATAGAACAACGTACTTAACCTAGTCACTAAGGTTCAAAGTAAAACCTCTCTAAAGATCTCGTAATCAATTGATGGCAGACATCAGTCTTTAACAATTGATACACTCACTGTGTTCTAAAATTACTTTATACGGTACCCCCTCTCTTGTGTGCACCACACCTATCGTCGACTACCAGTCGACGTGTAACCCCGTTACACCCTCCCCCACCAGACTGACGTTACCACAAAACGTCAATCGGTTTTTTTCCTCGAAGAGGTCGGTGTGTCTGCGCTTTACGTCATGGTTTTCAAACACATAACACCATGGCATAGCCACCCAACAAGTCTCGGACTCTTTCCTCCTACCTCGGTCTTAATGTGGATGTGGACTATAGTAGCGATATTGGTGTCCATAGAGATGACGGGATATCGTCCCACTCCGCTGTATCTGAGGCTCGACCTCTAAAAGCACCGAATCCGTTCATTAGACGTGGTATTACTACAGCGCCAGGGGCGCAGCATCATACACCAGATGCAGATGATATCATCACGAACCCGCTCGACGAGCAACAGGATCTAGTCCTTCAGCGAGAGGAGAATGCTCGGCGTCGTGCTCATACCCAGGCGGTTATTCAGAACTGTAGAGGTTACGGTTTTTCAACACCGGACGTGGACCGACGTCTCCATCAAACAAAAGGCCTTAGCCTCGCGACATGGGCAATTGCACCAGAGGCTACGTCGCCAGAAGACATTGCGTTCCGCAAGGTTCTACATAAGAGGTATCTCAAACCGTTCTTGACCACGCAAGGTCAATACCTTGCGCACCTTGAGAGCTTATCTTGTGATTTTTCGGTTCGACCGATACAGAACGTGCCCATCTTGTGGTTCGCTGGCGAACTACCCGAGGAGGAGGGAAATCTGTTCATCTGTTTGGTGTACCGCAAGCGACATCTTAGCAGTGTGCCAGCGCTGCGGGCCAGAGCCGATGTGGCTGACGTTAGTTTGAAACTAAAGCTCCGGTTCGAGTACGCCAAGCTCAAGGCCAGTTGCGTACACGTACGCGTTATGCTCCAGCTTGCTCGGTAGCCACGATTTCCGGCCCTAAGGTGTGGAGCAACACGCTACCTCCCACCACTATTGGTGAGAAGCGTTCTCGGTCGCAGGGAGACTCTGGCTGCGATGTTAAAAAACATCCACGGCGTAAGAGCAGTCCTGCCGAAGGGGTATCTCATACTCCCACGAGTTCTCCGACTCCAAGTACCCTCGCCACTTCACCAGATACTGGTATTGGCCACGACGACGACGTCGCTGAAGTATTTTCTCCACATGGAACTGGTTGTTCCCTTGCTCATCGAGCAGCGTCGGTGGTGGTCGGGGTACCGAAGGAGGAGCATGAGAAGGTGCTCCGTGAGCTGAGTGGTCTCCGAGAGACATTGGGTAAGACCCAGAGTGCGCTCGGCGCGATGCAAGCCCGTGTTCAGGCGTTGGAGTTGGCCTTAGCCCGTGTGGATGGTCAGCTTGACCTCCTGGTTCGGATGCAACAGTCGACGTCAAGGCCTTATTTCCAGGCGCAAGCGCCTCCGAGTTCACATGGGACGGGTCCCGATACGGCTTAAGCAAGCCAACGTAGAACACTGGGTGCGTGCGCAGTTTGCGCGGAAGGTTGAGCGTGTACGCCAATCCCTTCTTAGCGATGACCATGAACGGCCCAATGAAGCGCGGACGCAACTTTGTCTTGAAGACAGCAGAGACTACATTTGTAGGTAGGTTTTTAGCATTGAGTAGAACTTGGTCTCCGAACTTATAACGTTCAATACATCCTCTGCCTTTGACATCAGCTTGCTCCTTTTGTCTATCTTGGCTATCAGCCAGTGCATCACGAACGTGTCGTAACACATTCAAGCGCGTTGCGAGAAACTCGCTTTCCTTTTTGTGAACAGTAGCAGGGCTGATATCTGCAAGCCGATCGGCCATCTCTCCCCCACCAAGCCCTGAACCACGGAGTGGTAGCGTTAATGGAACGCGAGGGTGTGTGAGACCGTTCACGTAGAACGGAGTAAAGCCTGTAGAGGCATGAACAGCGTTATTTAACGCAAACTCAACAACAGGGAGCATCGAACTCCAACGTTTTGGTGTATTAGCGCAAACACTGCGTAATATATCACCGATAACGCGATTGACTCGCTCGGTTTGACCATCGGTCCGGGGGTGATCCGCCGTGGACATGTCCAAACGCGTGCCGAGCACCTTGAATATGGACCTCCAAAACTTCCCAGTGAAGCGAGGATCTCTATCAGAGACTATTGCCACAGGCAAGCCGTGTTGTCGAAACACTCTATCGATAAACAGCGTAGCTGTACCTTCACCATCAATGGTATCTGGCACAGCCTCTAAGTGAGCCATCTTGCTCAAACGGTCAACAAAGACCACAATACCCGTATTGCCTTGCACATCTTTCGGCAGACCGAACATGAAATCCATGCTGATGGACTCCCAGCACCCAGAGGGTATAGAGAGACTAGCGAGCGGCGCAGCCGCATGAGCTGAGGGTTTCACCCGTTGACACGTTTCGCACGTACGCACGTATGTGCTTACCCATTTGTAAAGTTTGGGCCACCAATAGTATTGGCTCACGTAGCTATATGTCTTTTCTCGACCGAGATGACCGCTCACCGCAGTTTCATGTGCCTCATAGAGGATGCGATACTTCAACTCCTCATCATGAGGGACAACGATACGGGGAGTATCCTCCACATCAGTGCTATAGCACAACAGGCCTTAATCGATGGAGAATCGATGCAGCCTCGCACGTAATCGTGCCGACAATTCTATGTCTGAGTACTTAAACTCCTCGCTCCCTAGAGCACGTAGCAGAGCTACACAGTGTTCATCCTTGGCATATGCCGACGAATGAGGTATGTGACCGATGACGACAGAGTCGTAACATGAGCAAGCTCATAGTCAGGCCTACGTGACAACGCATCAGTCAAAGCATTCTGCTTGCCCGGCTTATACTTCACCTCGAAGTTGTATTCAGCAAAGAATGAGAGCCAATGGGCCATTCGCTGAGAGAGATGTGGCGACTTGGTCGCAGTGCGTAATGATGCATGATCTGTATAGATCACAAAAGGCTTAGAGACAATGAGATGAACTCTGAATTGACTAAAGCATACTTCATCGCAAGCAGCTCTTTGTCATGAACTGGATAGTTCTTCTCATCTGCTTTTATCTGTCGGGACTCAAACGCAATGACGCGTTCCCGTCCATTATCATCTGTTTGTAACAAAGCACTGCCGATGGCAAAATCAGATGCTTCACAGACGACACTGAAAGGCCGATCAGGATCGGGCAAAGCCAAGATTGGCGCATGAAGAAGACTCTCTTTAACCGCCGTAAAGGCTTCATGCTCGGTGTTAGTCCAACACACTCCGTATCCTTTTAAAGGAGATTGGTTAATGGCCGAGCCATGTCTGCATAGTTTGCACTATACTTGTGTAATTAATTGGCGAGACCATGCCACTTACGTATGTCCTTTTACTTCTTAGAAACCGGCCAATCGACTATGGCTTTTATCTTAGTAGGATCCGCTCGAAGGCCTCACTTCCCAATGAATCACCCTATAAAGGGAATCTCTTGTGCACCAAAGATGCACTTAGAGGCGTTGGCATACAACTTGTTCGTGCGCATGCACTCGAGCCCTGCTCTTAAATGGTCGATGTGATTATCCAAATCAGACCGGCCGTTCATAGCACGACTATGGACAAAAATATCATCAAAGTCAGTCTGTGCATAACCTCGGTGAGGACGAAACAGTTGTGTCACAAGACGATTGAACGTAGCTGGGGCATTGTACAAGCCCTGTGGCATAACTAGTTACTCCCAGAGCATGCCGCTCGGAGTACTGACCGCTGTCAGCGGAATATCCTTCTCACGCATGAGCAAGTGGTAATAACCATCGACTAAGTCGAGTGCACTGTACATTGTACATCCCACCATATTGTTCTGAAGAACATCTTTCCTAGGGATTGGTGTCTGAGCCGGGATCGTGGCAGCATTAAGCTTATTGTAAGCATGAACAATGCGCCACTTCCCATTGGGCTTTCGGACACAAAATGTGGGCATGGAATGAGGAGATTTGCTCTCACGAACCATCCCCGCTGCGTGCTTTGCACGAAAGAAGTCGTCTATGACGTCACACTGCTCCTTTGGTAAAGGTCACTGCCGTGTTACGC